TAGCGTCCCAAGGAGCCAAGAGTGGGCCAGACCCAGCCCAGCGTTACTGCAGTGTTGGGGCACATCTGGGGGCCAAGGTGACCAACGTGGCTCCAGGTGGGCCAGGACAGGCTGCATGAGGCAGGAGCTCCATGTCCACGTTCAGGGGAAGCGGTGTGTGTCCATGTTTAGGGGCAGGAGCCGTGTCTGTGCTCAGGGGCACTGTGACTGTGTTTTGGGGCAGGAGTCAGGTGTCTGTGTTCAGGCTGATGCCAGGGAGGGCACAGGCCAGCCCTCTGCTGTGCTGTATACCAGAGCATGTGCCAGGGCAGCAGCAGGGCTGTCTCTGAGTTAGGTGGCCCAGCAGCAGTGGCCATGGCAGCTCCACGAGGACCCTGCCCCAGGGAGGACTCCAGCCCCAGCAGCTCTCCCATCATGGAGCTGGGGCTGGAGCCGGGGCAGGGAGGTGGGTGCCACAGGACAGGAGCCATGGGTGCAGCCCCGTGCCATGAGTAAATCCAGGGAATGCAGCCCCTGGCTGGAAACCAGCCGTACCACAGGTTTGCAGCACTTCCCAGAGAGCCTGGGCGCAGCCAGGAAAAACCCCACAGGGCACAACTTACAATCAAAGCCCCACAGGACTTCCTGCAGCCCCAGCTGAGCAGGCACAGCTTCCTGGGCATCGGCAGGTGGGCACAGGTGGGCATGGGGCAGCACTGTCCTCCCTGAGGCTGCTGGGCTGGTGCTGGGCACATGCAGAGGTGGCCAGGGCAGGGGCCCTGCCTTCCTGTGTCCAGCCTTGCCTCTGGGGGAAAAGGCTCAGGTGTGACAGTGCCCCAGCCCCCTCAGGCTGTGCTCGCTCAGGTGCAGCACCCACACCCCACTCCCACACCTGACCTGTGCCCGTCCATGGAGTCAGGCCTGCAGGTGGGTGCAGACCTCCACAGCACAGGGAGTCCCAAAGCCCTGAGGGGAGTTCCAGCCTGGCTGGTGGGGACCCTGGACAAGCTGGCACAGGCTGCAGAGCAGCTGGGGAGGGTCACAACCTTTCCCAGGTGCCAGCCATTGGGACATTGTTTCTCTCCTGCACCTTGAGCTAGTCCTGGAGCCGCTGGCTAACGAAGAGTACCAGCACCATATTGTCTTGTGGGCCATCACATCTTCATACAAGACCCTGTCAGGGAATGCTGAGGGCCAGCTTTGTTGTGCTGAGTGATTAAACTCTATGTGGGATGCAATCCCTGCTCCTTCCCCAGTTTTTTGAGAAGTACCATACAGGTAAACAAGTGGACAGGTTTGGGTAGGGAGAATTCCCTTGTAAATGCTGAAAATGCCTTCCTTAGGGCAACAAAAGCCTTGTTTTATGAATGCGTGTATATATATATATCTGTGCATAAACATATTTATATAAACAAATGCATGTCCATGTATAAGCACATTCTATGTATTTATCTGTGTGTGTGTCTGCACCTGTATCTGCCTTTTACTCTGTGTGCACACACACGTGTGCGTACCCGGGCACATACATGGGTACCAGTGCTTGTGCGGAGATTCATTCCCCAGCAGCTCCCACTCCGGGACACAGGGTAACAGCCAGAAGCTGTGGATGGGAAATTCCAAATAGATGCAAGTGAAAAAACGAACTAGAGACGTGGTTGGGCACTGGTACAGGGCCCGAAGAGGAGGGGCTGCCCACCCTTGGAGATCCTGGAAGTCAGATGGGCAAATTCTTCAGCATCTGGAATGGGACAAGCTTCGAGCAGGTGTTGGAGCAGAGACCTCCCAAAGCCCCAGCCAGGCTCATGGCTCAGCTGCCCTGGGTCTGTCTTTGCTGCCCAGTTTCTCATTGTGGCCAGTTTCTCATTCCTCATCGTGGCCCTCCTTCTCCCACCAACCCCAGGCTGACCCAGCACCCAGAGCTCAGCTCATGGGGCCCCACAGCTCTCCCATCTCAGGAGGGGCCACAGCTGCTTTGGGCAGTGTGGGCAATGCCCTCACTGTGCTCACTGTGCTCAGTGGGCAGTGTGGGCAGTGTGGGCAGTGCCCTGCACCCTGCTCCCTGTGCAGTGTGGGCAGTGCCCTGCACCCTGCTCCCTGTGCAGTGTGGGCAGTATGGGCAGTGCCCTGCACTGTGCTCACTGTGCTCAGTGGGCAGTGTGGGCAGTGTGGGCAGTGTGGGTGGTGCGGGCAGTGCGGGCAGTGTGGGCAGTGCCCTGCACCCCGCTCCCTGTGCAGTGTGGGCAGTGCCCTGCACCCCGCTCCCTGTGCAGTGTGGGCAGTGTGGGCAGTGCCCTGCACCCCGCTCCCTGTGCAGTGCGGGCAGTGTGGGCAGTGCCCTGCACCCCGCTCCCTGTGCAGTGTGGGCAGTGCCCTGCACCCTGCTCCCTGTGCAGTGTGGGCAGTGTGGGCAGTGCCCTGCACCCTGCTCCCTGTGCAGTGTGGGCAGTGCCCTGCACCCTGCTCCCTGTGCAGTGCTTTGCTCTCCGTGTGCAGGAGGCACCAGAGCCGTCCCAGCGCTCAGGGTTCACAGGGAGCTCGGCTCTGCTCTGCTCGGTGCCAGAACACTCTGCTGCTCTGCAGCTCTCTCCAGCAGCGCTGGTGACAGCAGGAGTCTGTCACCTCCAGCAGCTCTACACAGAGCTGCACCTCTGCAGCATTTGTGGGGATTTCAGCCTGGCTGTTTGCAGGGCTGCAATGTGTGTGGGCTCTGGGATTGGTCTAATACAACAACAACAACAACAATAACACCTTCCATGCAGCTAAAAACTGTAGGTGTTGGATCCACCTCAGCAGCAGCCCATGGATGAGCATGCATGAGCGGGCTGCTCTGCACACGGATTTCGGGTGGGTTGTGGCCTCTGTGGTGGGGGACATGGGTTAAAGACACAATAAACCAGTGCTTCCACTGGGGCAGGACATATCAAGCCAGTGTCAGCTAGAAATGCCTGGTGGGAATAAGGGAGTTCTTGGACCTTAAAATAAAATTTGACTCCTTTTGATGTCACTGGCCCAGCCCTGGAGCTGTGGACACTTTCTGGAGTGTTGTGGTTAGCGTGCACTGCTGTGCTGTGATCGGCTGCAGTGGCACAGACCCCTCCTGTGGACACATTTGTAGTGGCAGAGCCCTGTGTGCAGCTGTGGAATGGCTTTTCCCGGCCCCTGCCCTCCCACACGGAGGTGAGTACCTGGCACAGTTCCTGTGCCCTCGCCACGGCTGCTGTGTCCCCTTTGCAGCACGGAGCACGGCTGAGGGCAGTCCCTGACCCAGAGCAGCCCCACGAGGATGGAGCAGGGGTGCAGCTCCAGCCCAGCCTGATGGAAAGGGAGCCGACAGATTTCCTGAGAGCAGGGCGCCGGGGGCTGCTGCCAAAGGACATTTCCTCCCCTGATCCACAGGGAATGCCAGCAGGTGCTGCTGCCTGCACAGGGCAAATCCATGCTGGGGGTGCTGTGAGCAGCACCGGGCCAGGCATTTCCTGAGGAAACTTTCTTGTTCCCAGGTCAGTGGTGCAGGGACAGAGGCAGGTGTCCTGTAGTGGAAGGCAGCTGTGCTGAGAAACCAAATCCTGAAAGGATCCCACAGGACCCTCTCGGTACCTCCAGCAAATATTTCTGTGGAAAAAGCCACCCACCAAGGACAGGTAGAAGCACAGCTTTGTCCAAACGATTGCTCTGATCTGAGCTGTGCCTGTCTGTTGGCCACACAACGGGAGCCAAGAGCCAAGGGCAGGGACAGCCACCCCAGGGCTCAGAGCTCCAGGGCACTGCAGGAGGACTCTGCAGGCTGAGCACGGACCCCACGCTGCAGGTGAACAGAATGCACCTGCCAAAGAGGAAGGGACATGCAGAGGGAGCACTGCTCCCCAGGCAGCGCAGAGATGGCCCGGCCCTTGCTGTGGCACCGGGGGAAGGTGGAGTCAGCTCTGGCTGTCGGGACAGCTCCTGCTCTCCCAGGGAAGGGGACAGCAGCTGGCTGGACCGTTTGTGACCCAAACTCCCTATCAAACCTGTGAGCAATCAGTGCCCCAGCCAAACCTTGGAGAGAGCCCTCCCCCTCTCCAGGAACCTCTGGTGACACTGCAACGGGTGTTGCTACCGCAGCACAGGCACGGGAGCTGCCCTGCTCCCTGGACTCGCCGATGTTTGTCACAGCAGGGCAGAGTTTTCCCAGGCTGGACACCCAGGGAGCCCCACGGCCCCTGTGCCCTGGGCTGGGCACGCAGCTGTGCCCTGTGCAAAGCCAGGTCCTCACGGGCTCCTGGGGCTGGGCTCAGTATCGGAGCTGGCCGGCTGCGGGAGCACCGTCTCCAGCACCAGCTCCCAGGAGCACAGAAAGGCGGCCTGGATGTGCGAGCCCCTTTGGTTGTTGCCCCTGTCCCAGGGCATCAGCGCAGGGAGCCGGGCCGGGGCAGGGGCCGCAGCCGTGCTGGGAGCCTGCAGCAGCACAGCACACACATTCGCACCCTCCGCACTCCGGGATGAGCTGCGGAGGCGCTCCCGGAGCAGCCCTGGCCCCGCTCCGCCGGCGGGAGGGCCGGCCTGGGGATGCTCCCGGCGCCTCCCGGCCCGCCCTATCCCCTTCTCCCTCCCGCATCTGGCACCGGCACAGCAGCGGGTGCAACGAGCCCGCACAGCCCCGGCTCCGCGGGTCCGGTACCGGCACTGGCACTGGCACTGCCCGAGGGGCGGCTGAGCCCGGCGCGTCCCCTTCTCCCCGCCCGCCTGCCGCCCCGACCTCCGCCGCCGCTGGCCCTGCCCGTGGCCCTGTCCCTGTCCCTGTCCCTGTCCTTGTTCCCATCCCTCTCCCTTCCCCGTTCTCCTCCTCTGCCCGCGCCGGGCCGGGGCCGCGGGACGCCCGTTCCTGCAGCGAGGAAGAACGTGGTCGTGCTCCATAGAAAATAATTTATTGAAATCACAGCTATACACGGGCGGGCGCCAGCGGCAGCGAGGGCCCGGCCCGGCCCGGCTCAGCCCGGCCCAGCGGGCGGCCAGGGCCCGAGGGCCAGGCGGCCGCGCTCCCCGCGGCACGGACAGAAGGACACGCTGCCGTATGTACAGAGTTTACACGGAATAAATAAGGGACATGTACACAGGAGGGGGAGCGCCGCCGCCGCCCGCCCCAGGGTCCGGGAGCCGGCCGGGCTCAGGGCCGGGCGCCCTGCTCGATCTGCTGGTGCTGGCTGCGCACGGCGAAGCGATTGACGTGCACCGGGATGGGCACCACGATCTTGGGGTTGCGGACGGGCTCTCCAGAGCGGTTGCTGACATTGCCAGCCTTGATGCGTTTCCACTTGGCGCGGCGGTTCTGGAACCAGATCTTCACCTGCACCTCGCTCAGCTTCAGGGCGTGCGCGATCTGCGAGCGCTCCGTCAGGCTCAGGTACTTCTTGCAGTGGAACTCCTTCTCCAGCTCCAGCAGCTGCTCGCTGGTGAAGGCCGTGCGGCGCCGGCGGCTCTTCCCGGCCCCGGAGCCCGGCGGGGGCTGCTCGGCGGCGGGGCCGCCCTTGCCCTTGCCCTTGGCTCCCAGCGCGGCGCCGGCGGCGGCCCCGTCCAGGAAGGGCTCCTCCTCGCTCTCGCCCGCCGAGCTCTCCTCCTCCCGCTCGCTGCACGGCGTCGCCGCCGACTTCACCTCCAGCTTCTCCTCGTCGGAGCTGTACGCCTTGCCGTCTGCGGGGCACACAGCGTCAGTGCCCGCCGCACCGCACCCCGCACCCCGCATCCCGCACCGCGCCTGGGCCCCTCCGCTCCCAGAGCCCCCCAGACGCGGGGAAAGCTCTGCCCGCTCCCCGGCGGGGGCTGCCGCTCCTCCCGCTGCCTCGGAGCCCGTCACCACCGCGTCCCGCAGCCCCGGCCCCAGCCCTGCGCCGGGTCCCAGCGCCCTTGGCCCCGCAGCCCGCCCGGTCACAAGGGGCAGCGCAGGCAGAGCCACGCTGGGCTCTGACCCAGCAGCAGCTGCCCCATCCCCATTCCCAGCCCCATCCCCGGCCCAGCCGCAGCAGCACCACGGTCTCGGTCTGGCAGAGAACATCACAACACTTCAGGGCTTGTCTGGATCTCTGCACAGGATAGAACGCCCGTACCTTGTCTCTCAGCTCAGCCCTCCCTGTCTCTCCCCAGGGCACCAGTCCATCGATGCTGTGAGCCAGCCAAGAGCTGAAGAACTGTCCTGGAAACAGCATCCAGAGCCAGCTCCAGCCCAGCAAACCTCCCTGCAGGGCTCTACAGGACGTGGGGGCCCCACTTCTGGCTCTCCCTCCCTAATCCAAGGATGCACCACAGCAGACAGGGAACAAGGGGCTGAGGCAGCCGATGCTCAGGGCTCAGCTACGCCCAGCAGTGGGCAGAGGGGCAGGACAGAACCTGTCAACATCACCCAACAGACAGCACCTCATCCCAGGCCATCAGGGAGAATGCAGTGCTTGGATCATGGCAGACACCTCTGCTAAGATGCCTCTGAGGATACTGATATGGTACTGGGGTGTGAATCTCTTCCTTGCAAGCTTCCTGTGTCCCAAACTGCTGCCTGAAGGATGAAACAGCCATGGAGCAAGGGAGGACACAGTGGGAGACAAACGGAGGAAGGAGGTTTGGAAGACAGTCCCTTCCATAGTAGAAGGGCTCAAAGTGAGAAGATGCTCTCAGCCACAGACAGGGGTCATCAAGGGAGGACCCACAGCTATGCACAAGCAGGTGAAAAAGCTTTTCTGTCATGCTGAGATTAGAAGAGACCAGAAATTTCTTCAAGTCTGACCCAAGAGCAGCAATCACGTCTGGAAGGAGTTGTCCTGAAGCACTGCTGCTCTATACAATCCAACATGCACAAGGAGAAGCAGCAGCTCTCCAAACTTGTAAGCAGTGTACAGGCAGTGGCCCATGCAGCCAGGGCCCCTGCTGGCCACCTCACCTCACCTCAGGGGGAAAGGCAGAAGGCCCCCAGAAGCCTGACAGCGCAGGGTTTAAAAACACAAACAGAACTGCAGGAGACTATTCGAGCCCAGAAGACATTCCTGGTAGCCTGGTGACTGTGGAGCTCCCACACCCCTTGTCAGCTTCCTGAGACCAGGCTTTGGAGATCTGGAATCTTCTCCCTGCTCCTCCAAAGAACACCTTCATCTCTATCCTGCTGCAGAGCGTAGGGTCAGGGGTAGGGGAAGAGATTTCCCATGTGCATAGAGGGTAAAGACCCAGAGATTTCGTGCTCGTGGGGCTGAGGATCAGCAGCAGGTGGCAAGGAGCACTTTGGCTGCCATTGCCAACCTGATGTCAGCACTTTGCTGAAGAAAAGAAGAGCTCTCACTTCTGTTTACCAGCTCTCTCTGGTGGAGCATGGGGCCTGACAAGGTAAGAGAGCTCTGATGAGGAATTCTGTCCTCCCCAAGGGCTCTTTAGGTCCTGTCCTGGCACTGCAGTTCCCCAGGGATGGAGGATGGCATCCCAGCAGCGAACAGTGCTCATAGGGCAGCTTGCTCCTGTCAGCCCAGGCTGTGCCCCTCAGTTGCAAGAAGACTGAGCAACACGATGGTTTGTAAAACAGGTGCTCTCTGAATACCCTCTTCTGAACCAGACTCCAAATTTTAAATGGAGCACTCTCACATTTGTGTCTTATAAAAGGGCTGGGTTTGCAGTAAGGAACTTGGAACTACTTGATAACATAATCTAAATTGGATGTGTTCACAAAGAAAATTGGTATATTGGTCTGTTAGTCACCTACTATGTCACCAGCAAGGAAGGAATGAAGGCAGGGGATCCCACCCATGTGGGTGGGGTGTACTGAGACTTTCAAGGCCTTTGAACATGAAGTGAAGGTGTCACGAAGCAAAGCATCATGACTGAAAAATCAACGAGAAGCAGTAAATGAAGAACAGGGTTGACCCGCTGGTTTGTTTTTCACAGAGTCACAGCTGTTCATTGATCTTGTCAAAGACATTGAAGAGAATCCAAAGGGGGTCACAAAAATGTTCTGAGGGCTGGAGCACCTCTGCTGTGAGGCCAGGCTGAGAGAGTTGGGGCTGTTCAGTGTGGAGAAGAGAAAGCTCCAGGTAAACCTTATTGCAACCTTGCAGTACTTAAGGAGGGCTTATAAGAAAGACAAAGAGAGATTTTAAAGTCTCTTGTGGTAGAACAAGGGGTCGATTAAATGAGGTATAGAAAGAATTATTCACAATGAGTGTGGTGAACACTGGGTTGCCCAGAGAAGTGGTGGATAGCACATCCCCAGCAACACTCAAAGCCTGTCAGACAGGGCTCTGAGCAACCTGATGTAGTTGAAGATGTCCCAGCCCATGGCAGGGGGTTTGGACTAGGTGGCCTTTAAAGGTCCTTGCCAACCCAAACCATTCTGTAACTCTATGATTATGGATGTGGAAAGCATGGTGAAGAGACCTGAGTGTCACAGGCGACAAAGCTGTCAGGGAAGCATCAGGAGGAGCAGGGTCAGGAACGGCTGTTGTGATGAGCCCTGTGCTGGTAAGGGAAACAGAAACTTCCCCCTGTCCCTGATTGAATGTGCTGTCACTACACCAAACCAGGAAAGAGTCTCAGACTTCTGCCTGAATCTCAGAGGAGATCTGAACAGCTCAGAACAAACCTGCTCTCACAAGAGGTGTGGGGAGCTAGGGATGTTAAGGACCCTTACACCAGGGGTCATACCTTTGTGGCAGCTGTGGAAATAAATCAGACTTCAAGCTTTGCTGCTTCTCACCACCAGTTTCCCTGCCTACTTCTCCCTGCTCAAGAAGGGTGGCAGTTGCTGGAAGCAAGTTTCAAAGCCAGTGGATGCAGAGAGAAGTCCTAAAATAGTGCATTAATTCCTTTGGCTGATCCAGGATGCAACTGATCCTGTGTCCACAGACACCTGCATGATGGAGATATAACAGAGCCTAGGGACAGCAGCAGTCACTCCAGAGTATAAGTCACTAAATGTCAGCAAAACTGTCAAAAGGGAGCATTTATTTTTCACAAGGTTCTTCTACAGGTAAAAAAATCTGTGTAACATCTTGCCATCTTGATGTGGCTGATGTCAAGGTTAGCCCTCCTTTCTGGTGGACTCCAGGGGAGATTAGATAAGGCCACAGAAAACAAATTAGTAGAAGTTTACTAAATATACAGAAACAACACTTGGCACAGGAAGTCCCCGATGTGCAGATGGTTGGATGTGAAGGAAGTATCATTTCAGAATTGACCATTGAACAGGTTGTGCTCTCTTGCTCTTCCCTGGACAACTGCTTTTGGTCAGGGCCACAGACTGGATGCGAGAGCAAACCGCATTATAGATAGTTTTTGATGACTCCTGTTGACATGAATCATCTTTCTATTCCTTAGTACTGGAAAAAGCTCACAACAACCCTCCTGAGTTTCCTCTAAGATGGCTGTAAAACAAACCCCACTGTCCATCTCCAGTTTTGTCTGGTACAGCCAGGAGAAGCAGCAGGTGAAGGAGAAGGCAGGCACATTTGGCCTGACAAATCCTCTTGGACATGGGCAAAGCAGCCCACAGAACTGGGTCCACATGGGCACATCTGTGCAGAAGGACAAGCTCCCCTCATGGCTCCAGAGCAGAGCCAGTGCTCAGAGGCAGCAGAGGATGAACAGCTGCAGCAAGACATCTTCCCTTCCATCACACCGTCCAGTTGCAACAGGAAAAGTCTTAGAGGTAGGATTTATTGGATTCAGAAGTGGCCACGGCCTGGGACAGTTCATCTGAGTCCCTTGGGAGGAGAGAACATATTGGGCTCAGTTCTGGAGAAGCCAGAGAGGGAGATCAAGCACAACACAGTTCATCTGCTCACAGATGGGAAAGGTGAGGTTGTATAGACCTGGTTTTGGCCAGGGCAATGCTGCCCTGAGAAGACTTCCACAAAATGTAAGATTGCATTGGGCTTTTGGCTCAGCACAGAGCCCAGGGAGCACTGGAGGAGCACCCAATAACCCACACAGGAAGGGGGAGGCAGAATGCCCCCATTGAAATGCCTGGTCTGAGAGGTCTAAGGGTACCTGATGAGTGAGTGCTCTTCTGAGGGATGAACAAGGCACGGCAAGGAAGGCACCTGGGCTTACCCAGGAGAGACTAAAGGGAGGATGGACAGCAAACAGCCAAGCACTGCAAGAAGCAGCAGAGATTCTCAGCACACATCCATGCCAAGAGGTCTGTGAGACAAAGGTGGATCCCGGGAGCGGCCAGGAGAGACAGCTCAGGAGAGGCCGCACCACAGAAGCAGCAGCTGGCTCGTCTGTGTCTGGCCGCAGGGAGCCCGTGCTGCAGGACCCGGGAGAAGAGCTGAGCGCTGGACCTGGCTGAGAAATACGGAGCAACAAGTCTCCGAGGCTGGTGCTGGCGCTCTCGGGGAGCGGCCGCAGCGCACAAAGGCGAGGGCCCCGACGGGAGCCGTTCCTGTCCGCACCGGGGGTCCCGGAGGGGCGCTGCCGCCTGCCCGCCCGTCCGGCCGAGCCGGTGCCGAGCGGGCGGCCGGAACGGAGGAGAGCGGAGCTGCTCCGCCTCGGCCCTGCGGGGCGGGCTCGGGGGAAACTTTGGAAAGCCGGTGGTCGCAGCACGCTGGGGACAGCGCAGCCCCCGCCGCACCGAACGGGACCGGGACGGGGACCGGCACCGAGATCGGCGCGGGCGGGGAGGGCTGCGGAGCGAGCCGCGGGACGCGCCGCCACCTCCGCTCGCTCGGCCCGGGCCGAGTGCCAGGACCTCGGAGAGCTCCGCGCAGCTGGCCCGGCCGCGACCGGTCGCTCTCGCCCCGCGGCCCGGCCGAGGCGGGCGGAGTTTGACTCCAGCCCGGGAACGCTGCGGACCGGGGCTGGGACAGAGTCGGTTCGGCGCTCCGAGCCGGGCCGGGAGCGCCGCCGAGGGCAGGTCCCGCCGGCTGCCCCGCCGTCCTGCCCGCCGCGCCCGGCCCCAGCGCTCGGCTCCGCGGCTGCCGTCCTGCCGAGCTCCGGCCGCGGCACCGCCCGCCCCCGGTGCCGCCGGGACGGCGGAGAGGAGCGGGCAGCTCTGCCCGGGCTGCGGGTGAGGCGGGGCGGGTGCTCCCCGCCGGGCAGGACGGGCCCACGCCGCTCTTACCTGCCAGGCCGGGGAAGGGCTCCGGGAAGTGCAGCGGCGGCTCGGGCGGGCCCTTGTCGCGGCCCGGGGGCAGCTCCTCCGCCTCCAGCCCGTCGGCGCCGCGCCGGCAGCCCGCGTCGGGGGCGGCGCGCGGCGGGGGCAGCTCCTGCGGGGGGTAGAAGCCGTCGGGGGGCTCGGAGAAGCTGGGCAGGGCGGTGGTGAGCGCCACCATGGAGGGCACGGCCTGGCCCAGGCTGGCGCAGAAGGTGTTGGTGAGGCGGCCGGCGAAGGAAGCGAGCGGGGCCAGCGGCGGCAGCCCCGACTGCAGCGGGGCGTGGGACAGCGCCTGCGGGAGCACCAGCGGCCGGTACGGCATGAACATGGGGTACCCGGTGTAGAGCAGGTGCCCGGAGCGCGGCGGCGGCGTCCCGATGAGCGAGTCGATGGAGAAGGCGGTCCCCTGGCCGCCGGGTCTCTGCATGGCGAGCGGGCGCCTCCGGCTCAGCCGGCACCAACTTTCCGGCGAGCTCGGGCCGCCGCCAACTCGCCGCGATCCCGCCGCCGCCGGGCCCCGCCGCCGCCGCCGCCGCCGCCGCCGCCGCGGCCCCGGCCCCGGCCCGCGCCCTCCGGCTCCCGTGGGCTCCGGCGCCCGGCGAGAGCTGCCGCCCGCTCGCTGTCTCGGCGCGGCGGAGTGGATGGAGGCGCGCTCGGAGCCGCCCGCCCGCCCCGCCGCGGGGGGGCCGGGCCGGGCCGCCGAGGGGAGGGAGGGGAGGAGGGGAGGGGAGGCGGGCGGGGGTGTCGCCCTCTGCTCTCATCCATCTTCTGCACATCACGGTCGAGTTCCTCCTTCAGCGCCCGCTCCGGCGGGGCAAAGCGCCCCACTCCCCCGGCACGGCCGGCCCCTGGGAAGGCGCCTCCCCCTCCCGCCTCATCAGCTGTTATTAATGGTGATTGATGATTAGCAATTACGGGGCCACGACAAGGGTGCTTTTGTGGGGACGGGACGGGGCCGCGCTCTCCGCACGGCCCTCTCCGGGCCCACGGACGGGGCGGACCGGCTCCGCTCTGCCGGCACCACCGGGGCTTCCGCAGCCGGAGCCGAGCGGGCCCTCCCGGCAGCTCCGGATGGCCGAGCCCTCGGGGAGGGGTCCGGGGGCGGCAGCGAAGGGCGGGCTCCAGCGCCCCGACGGACCGGCCCTGGCCAGGCACCGGTAGCGCCGTTCCGTGCCGTTCCGTGCCATTCCGTTCCGTGCCATGCCGTGCCGTGCCGTGCCCGCAGACCGCCCGAACAGGGCGCGGAGAGAGCAGCCCCGGGGCAGGGTCGGGAGTGCGCCCTTCTCGTCCCTGGAGCGCTGTCGGCTCGGAGCGGGGTCTCGGTGAGACCGGTGGGCTCGGGCGCCGCGGGGCCGGGCAGACAGCGGGGCCGCCCGCAGCCGCACCGGGGTCGGGGTGGGATGGGGTTGTATCTGCAGTGCCCCCTCTCGCTGCTCCCCCGCGGCACCGGCACCGCTCGCCCCCGCGCTCCGGGTGCCGCACGCGTCCCCCGGTGGCGGCCCCGGTGCGATCGCTCCATCCGCAGAGCGGGCGGGAGCCGTGCGAGCCGAAAGCTCCCGAGCCGCGGCTCCGCCGTGCTCGCTGTGTCCGGAGGAACATCGCCTGCCCCTTGTGGAGAGTCCCCACGCTAAAACAGAGCACTTTCTGCCCCCAGCTCGGCATTCGGGCTGTCCTGTCTATAGAGAGCTGCTCACCAGACCTGCAGGAGGCAAACTGAAGCCCGGCTTCAGAAGAGGATCAGGATTTTTAAAGTGCTTGGAAGCCAAGAAATGCAAGCTGGAGTCATGTCTATGCTCACTCCAGCTGTAGTTTCAGTGACACTCCAGTGGACTGTGCCACTCCAGACCTCTAGCTCTCAGCTATGGATATTCCTCTTCTCATGTGCCCTGTGTGCTCCTGCCTGCATCTCCCCTTTGACCAGGGATGCAGCACCCCTGGCTGCTTACCTACCCAGGCTCCTGGTGGCATCGATATCTGTGTAAACACATGGATTTCTCTACCTTCACCTTCTGCTTTGTCCCTGAGGATGTCTGGAATACCACTCAGAAGTGTGTGTTTTCTGTGGGACATGACAGCCCAGCCACGGAGTTGGACGCTTGGACCCTGTGTGGAGCATTTAAGTGAGGCAAAAATGGGCCCACTGTGCTCAAAGCGGGATACTCAGCCTTCCTCCACTAAACAGGCACAATCTGAATCCCAGGGCCCAGATATGACATCACACAGCCTCCTCTTTCTTTCTTGTCTTCTGTGCCTTTTTCTGTGGCACATCCTTGTGGTCTCAAAGAGTCATCTTTCCACAGCAAGAAAAGCCCTGCTCCAAGTCAGGGAAATGGATGTGGAGAAGGTAATGGTAAAATAATCATCCAGGCTCAGATATTGAATCATAAAACTGAGGCCTGGCATAGGGAATCCCTGTCTCTGATGCAGACACCCCCTGCCCTTGGATTGCTGAGAGAGTGAGAGATGCTCATCTTTGCAGGTTATTGACTGGCTGTGGCCCCCAGTCCAGGATTAGGGCCCAGATTCCATGGTGGGAAGGAATATGGCAGTGACAGGCATTTGGGTGAATCCCACCGCAGAGACCAGCAGTGACACCATGAGGGACGTGGCTCCAGGTCTGTGACAAAATGAGGGACATGGCTCCAGGTCTGTGAAACCATGAGGGACATGGCTCCAGGTCTGTGACACAATGAGGGACATGGCTCCAGGTCTTTGACACAATAAGGGACGTGGGTCCACGTCTGTGACACCATGAGGGACATGGCTCCAGGTCTGTGACACCATAAGGGTCATGGCTCCAGGTCTGTGACACAATGAGGGACATGGCTCCAGGTCTGTGACACCATAAGGGTCATGGCTCCAGGTCTGTGACACAATGAGGGACATGGCTCCAGGTTTTTGTCACAATGAGGGACATGGCTCCAGATCTGTGACACCATAAGCGACCTGGCTCCAGGTCTGTGACACAATAGGGGACACAGCTCCAGATCTGTGACACAATAAAGGACATGGCTCCAGGTCTGTGACACAATAAGGGACATGGCTCCAGGTCTGTGACACCATAAGGGACATGGCTCCAGGTTTTTGTCACAATGAGGGACATGGCTCCAGATCTGTGACACCATAAGCGACCTGGCTCCAGGTCTGTGACACAATAGGGGACATGGCTCCAGGTCTGTGACACAATAAAGGATACGGCTCCAGATATGTGACACAATGAGGGACATGGCTCCTGTGACACCATAAGGGACACAGCTCCAGAGCTGCTGGTCAGCATCCAGGTTCTGTCTGTCCTTGCCCCAGCTCTCCTGCCTCATCCACCAGATGTGTGTGGTAAAGGAGCCTCCAGGTTGGAGTCACCTCCAATGCACATAGCTTGGGTCCATTCCCTGCCATGAAAGCACCTTAGACCATGGAGAAAGTGAAAGCACAGCCCTGTGTCACTGGATCTCGCGGCTGCGCTCCAAAGGGCCCAGACTGTGCAAGCGGCTTTCTGACTCCTGAGCAAATACAACTTGATCACTTGTTCAATGGATCTTTTCTGTGTAACCAACCCACAGCCCACACCTGCAGACAGGTTAGCAAGGTGTTTGAGAGCAATGGGAAGCTGCTGTCTTTAGTGACCTTGCTGGAGACCCGAATGAGCTGGGGATGGGCTGTGTCTCGCAGGGAGGGAGGATGGCAGCCCGTGCCCCAGGCAGCAGGTCCTGCCTGAAGACCACAGAGCAGGCTCAGTTCTGCCCTCTGCACAGCAGAGCTGCACCCTGCCAGTCCCTACTGGTGTCTCCGAGGTTAAGGTTCTGCTTCCCTGGTCATATACTGGCATTCCTGCAGCCCCATCTCCCTTCAAACACTGAGTCTGTTCCATGCTGGGAGCAGCAAGGAAAGGCTGATTCCAGAGGGGGGGAAGCCAGGCAGGAAAGGCTGTAGCAAGGCAGGGGCCTCAGTGACCAGGGTGCATTCCCACAGGACCTGAGGAAGGTGAGCAGAGCAGATCTGATGACAGATGGCTTCATCCTATGAGTTGGCCCTGACCCTGGAGAGTCAAACCTCCCCCAAGGAGGGGGGATGCACTCAGGGCCCCAGCAATTTACTCCACTTTGGTTTACTTTGTCTCATGAGACTTTGTAGTAGAGATAGAAACTCATGTGCACATCATGAAACAAAGATTCAGAGAAGGATATGTTGAAGGATTACAGAAAAAAAAAAAAGGTTGTAAGAATAATAAAGCAAAGATGTGCTGCTATACTCTCATGTGTACATCAGATGGGACAGAACTCCCTCATCCACCATCCTCACAGGGTGAGCCAGCTTGGAATGAGGGTCCAGGCTGCACGTCCACCCAGTGGACTTCCATGGGCTTTCCCAATTTCAGTTGTGTGACCTATGTTGAATCTCCCACAGCTTCTTGCTGCCTAGTGAAATGCAGTTTCCATGGCTTCCACTTGAGGCTCAGACCTCCGCTGCTCAGAGGCTTCCTGGGCATCTTTCCCTCTCCACTCACCTCTGCAGAAAGCCCCTTGATTCCAGTTTAAAGGGCTCCATGCCTCCCTCTCAAGGAATCAGTGTATTTCCTTAATGTTCCTGAAGACAGAGCGTCCAACACACCAGGTACAGCAGAAATATTAATTGTGTGTGCAGTTTGTAAAGCCCCATGTCTCATTGCACTCTCAGCTGTTGATGGAGATCCCTCAGGACCTTGACAGGTACATTACCAGACACTGAGTTTAAACAGTCTCAGGAGGAGACCTGCTCTCTCCTGTTTTGGGGTCACTGTGCCATGGCTCATGTTTTTCAGTCTCAGCAGGTGATCCTGAGTCTCACCAAGCTGGGCCCTGAGTGCTGAATTCAAGTCCAGCCTCTGCCTTCAGCAATCACAGACCAGCCTGGCCCATCTCTCCATCCTCAGTCTGCCTTTGCTTACCACCTTTCCTCTCTGTTTTCTGCATTAGAACTTTAGAACTGCTCAAGCTTCTTCCTCCTCCTCATTCTTTGCTGCAGACATGTGAACATGGACAAGTCTGTCTGCCTGCTTTTCTGGAGTCAGCAGGAAAGCCTGGGGAGTGTCCTGCTCAACACTTGGCACGTGGGACAGTGTCTGTAGTGAAGGCAGTGCATGACCTGTCTGATCAGCACAGAGAACCCCAGGAGAAAACCTTCAGCCTTTAAAAATGTCCTTGCTCAGAACCTGCACAGTGGGATCCTCAGAGGCTGTTCATTAAGGAAAATTTGATCCCCTGCTACTGAGCAGGAAAAGAACCACCCAGGCCATCTCTCCCCTCTGAGGTGGAGAGTCTGGAGCGTGTTCCTGATGCACCAGCTGCTGGCCAAAACTGGCCAATTAATTTTTGCCGTATCCGTAATGGGTAAAGTTCTGAGTAACACAGCGCAGCAACCACAACTGCAACAGTTAAAGCGTAATGACAGACTGGGAAATGAAAGCAGGTCTTCCTAATGGAAACTGCTATGCAGTCTTAACTTTATGCTTCTACCTGCTCCACTTACTATCTCTGCACGGAATCTAGCACAACAGGACTAAATCTAGTCACAGCCTCTAGGCATTCCTGCAAAATAGCTGCGAAACATATTAAAAGCAAGGGTAACGTTGTAAAATTATTTACTCCAAGTTTGGGAAGTCTAGAGAGCAGGCTGTCTGTGGCCATGGTGCTGTTTGACCGAAGCTGGGCTCCCTCCAGGCACAGACCCTGCTACTGGGGGTGCCCTTGGCATGGTCCCTCAGGCTCTGCAGCCACACACTGCCTGAG